CTGTATTGCAAAATATCTGCATTATGTGCGGAACGCCATTAACTTGTGGACTCCAAAACATACCAGGATACTCAATAGTGAAATGTGAAATGACCGGAGCTGGAATCGAACAATGGACCTGCTGCAAACTAGTACGCTCACATCAGCCACTGAACCACTCGGCTTCCCTTTATATATAGGCTGGTCAGCATCCTGTAATGCTCCCATACCTTTGCCGCCACAGACTGACATTATCCCCCTTTACGTTATTTGTGCTTAGCTCCGGTTACTGGACCTGAAAAGAACCAAGAACCTGGAGGCCTATGTGGAGTGGTTCAACCGCCTCAGCTACCTGGTGGCCACCGAGGTCTGCATGCACATCAAGAAGAAGCACCGCGCCAAGCTCATCGAGTACTTCATCGATGTCGCTCGCGAGTGCTACAACATCGGCAACTTCAACTCTCTCATGGCCATCATGTGTGAGTAGTCAATTTGTAGACGGGGCCTCGGAAGGAAGAGAGAGATCAGTGCTTTCATTGCAATGAAAATACCACAGAAGAGACATTCGTTATTCGAAGTACTGGGAAATTTTTTTGCGGTAGAACCATAAATAAGTGTAATGTTTACGTCAACAACAGTGATACTAGCACCCATGAATTGTCCACTTCTTGTCCATTTTTTATTAGTCAAATCCTGCAGCCTTGTTATGCATGACTTCAAAAGAGAAGAATTATCGGGACACAATTCAACAATGTGCCGAAAGCTTGGGTGGGACAACGACTTCTTCCTTTAGGAAGTTGAGGAAATGTCCTTCCTGGGATCAAATGTAGATGTGGCACATTATGCATCTGTCCGGTGTATGTGCATTACCTGTTGTTGATGATTAATGTTTTTTTCGCCAGCAGAGGTTCCCTGCTTGGTGAAAGCTGTTCGGCGGAATTACCCCAAACCCGCTAGACGCAGTTATGATTTCTTCAAATCAAGTACATTTTACGATAAATGAGTAAAGTCCTCTCTGTTTCTTGTATAGCTGGCTTGAATCTCAGCCCAGTCACGAGACTGAAGAAGACGTGGGGCAAAGTCAACATGGACAAGTTTGAGATTCTGGAGGTAAGAGCACAGATTATGCTCTGGACTGAAACAAAAGTACAAACGGTCCAATCATTTATTTGTAACCGCAATATTGTTGTTTACCAAGCAAGCAAGTCCTTCCAAATGTAAGGAATGGTTCACCTCCCAATAACGCCCCTCAGAATTTTGCAAGATAATTTGTGAGTGATTGAGTCACTTGCTGAGTGATCCCCGACTGCCTTTTCTCGGGTTTGCAGCATTGCATGTATTCCTGAGAGCAATAGACGTTAATAAGTTAGAAAACCATTAACAAGTGAAAGGCAAGGGGTCTACCAACATTGAGTTGGACAAGTTCAGTGCTGGTAACCCTCCCTGGATTGAGGTGGTAACACAGAGAATTTAAAATTACATATAAAAATCAGGGTTGATATTTTGGCATGAATCATGTGTTCCCCGACCTGGGATGTTAGTAACAGTGATCACTTTCCGATTGTTGCCATCCCCAGCACCAGATGGACCCGACGGGTAACTTCAACACGTACCGCCAGTCTCTGCGAGCGGCCATGCAGAGAGCCTTGGGGGCCCAGGACGGAGCCTGCGACAAGATTGTCATTCCCTTCTTCAGCTTGTTTGTCAAGGACCTTTACTTCCTGAACGAGGGCTGTATGAACAAGCTGGCCAACGGCTACATCAACTTCCAGGTGGGTTGCAAAGGCCTCTGAAACACTGAAATGTCTTGCAGCGAATTTCACAAATCCCTTTAACACGCCAGATGGGCCTAGCCAAACATCCTTTTATTTGCATGTTTATCGCTGAACCCTAGCCTGAAGTACACACAATTTTTATTGCTTGACAAGAGGTGTGGGTTAAGGTGCCTGGCCCCCCCAAAATATGCGTTGTACTTGGCATTTAGCTGGCATGACCTCCAGTTTGGAGATATTGACCACGGGTTAAAGTTTTGTGTTTAATTTTCGACACCAAAGATATTTATGAGTGTGAGTGGACTTATGACTTCAAGGATGAGAATTCAACAGCCTAATTTGTGGTTTGTCAATGCCGGCAAAAATGTGAAAGCGCAGTTTTTGTTTAGGTTGAAATTAACGGCTAACCACTCCGACCTCTGGATCAGTCGTGCCCTAAATAAACCCGAGCAGAAATATGAGTAATGTGAATGTGTCAATTTTTGACAGTTGGGCTGTTGACTCATACCAAATGCTTAAGGCCACATATGCAGCAGATTTTAATAGCGGATAATGGTAATCAATCGCCACTTCCCTTCCATCGCTAGTTGTCCATCCCTTTTTCATGTTTTTGCAAAAGTTTCCATTAGATCTGTTGTTCTTTTTCCCACCCGAAAGTCATCAACAAGATATTTGGTCAAGTGCCACTTTTTCAATTGATTGCAAAGGCAGCATAGGCACACGTTTCTGTTGTTCAAGTCTGCAAATTGCACTGTGACACACCAATCAAATACACAGCCAAGCAACCAATGGCATGCTTGCTCTGAGTCATGTGATATGCAATCAGCAGCTGACATGAATCATGTGACATCTCCCCATCCAATTTACCAGCACATAACCGATGCAGTGCCCTTGACAAGACCTGCAATGGTAATGATAAGTTATTATTTTGGATTTCCTCCTCCTGCAGAAATTTTGGCAAACGGCAAAGCAAGTGACGGAATTCATGACATGGAAGCAGGTGGAATGCCCGTACCCAAGGGACCGGCAAGGCCTCAACTATCTTCTCACAGCACCTGTATTCTCAGAAAATTGTAAGCACACACTGAAGTTGCACTTCTTGTAGACTTTCTGTGACCAATCTAGACAACTGCGCAAAGCCAGATGAGCTAACAGCTGATTTGGATGGAGCCCCAGAACGCTGTCGTTCAGATACTTCTGTTACGTCACTGTGTTATCTTATCAAAGCTAATGTTTCCAAAGTGGTGAATGACATTTTGTATTCCTGGAAAATCCATATTAAAATCCTGAACAGAGTAGGGTTTTTCTTCTGAATTATTTGAATTTCATCAAAAAGTGAGTGAGTACAACAGAAATATGACTGACATAAATCTCTGATTACAAACTTGTTGGGAAAAAGTTATGAATAATTCATGAGTTGATCTTGACAAAGCGTTGGTTAATGTAGTATTATTTTTCTCACAGCACTTTACTTGGCATCGTACGAGAGTGAAGGACCTGAAACAAACTATGAGAGAGAGCAGTACAAGACGCTGAAGTAAGTCCTCCAAACTTTCTGCCCCTAGAAATCATGGTCAGGCCCAGTTCTGTAGTTAAAAATTTTTTTGTTGTTGTTGGTGGCAGAGGATTTGATTGGATGCTTAGATTTAAGCTGTCTGTAATTTGCATGAACTTACCACTCAATCCGATTGTCTGATTTTCCTGGGCAAAATGGCGTCTGCTTGTCAACTTCACCCGCTTTGTTGCTTCACACTTGAAATCTAATCTAGTGAAGTACTCGCATTGCTTGAAACAAAGACTAACCAGATGCTGGTTCTACTCTTATTCTACAGATTGCAGTGCAACGCGGCCAACAAGTAGTCTCGTGCAGCTGGTTGGACCAAAGTGTTGAACACTATGTGCTCAGAACTCAAACTATTCAGTTTGAAAAAGTGCCCGGAGCATGTCAGCTTCTAAAGTGTATGCACATGAGCAAAGCTCAGCTTGGCCATTCAGGTCATGTCAGGGTCTCCCAAAGGGAAATCTTGCTTATCAGCTGATGATGAAGGAACTGTATTGTGATCACTCCGGAGTAGAGCCGATTGTCAAGGGTCTTGTCCCTACCCGCATTTTCCACTAAGAGATTGCAGATGACGGGAGAGCTTTGCACCTAACAGGACAGGTCCCACAACCAAGCCGGGATTTGGAGGTGGCTGGGAACTGGGCCAAGACATAACTGCTTGGGAAAAAGAACACACCCTGTCTCATTCCCTCAGCATGAAGGAATCGTTCAGTTCTCAAGTCTGGTTGATACCCAAGGATAGCCTTTGTCTCAGCCTCCTGAAATAATGTCAACAGAGGGCGCTAGACCCGTAGCACAGTCAGCAGTGAAAGCCAGTGTTGGGTTGAACTCATGCAGTCATCACATTGACACTTCTGTGGATGCCGACTCTGAAGTCAAGCTTCTTTTGTGGCCGCTCAAGAACAATAAATTTTCCCTCACGGGCCCAAGCTGCATTTATGCTGGGTATATATACAGACATTGTGGCAAGTTGACAAAGGTCAAGTGATTTTTATTTATGTTCATGCTTTTGGAAAAAAGTTGACTTTTTGGCTTTATAAGAATTTGTAAGGCTTGGCATATGAACACTGGAACAAGGAAAGAGAGTGGGATGATTTGAACACATTGCATAAGTTTGAACATAACGTAGAACTTTTATCTAAAATCTTGACTAAAATCTGCATTTCCTGATTTGCTGGTGTTAGTAGGCGGCGTTACAATCATGAAGCTCAAAATAGCTGTGGAATCTCGAGATGTATAAATGAAAAAAAATTTAAACAAAGCCTGCATATCTTTGTATATAAGAAGTTTAAATGTATTCAGAGTCATACACGAGAGGACTTTTATTTTAATTAAAAAATATTAATGATTAGTTTGGACATTTCTTTTTTTGACAGACAAATTTTCCAGTGTTTATTTTTTTGTTACTGTTGAGATGTTCTTTCTGCTGTCTTTTCAAAAATTGGGCGCTTGATTCTAAGAGTTTTTATTGAAAGGAAAACTTGTACTTTCAGGGTCTTTGTCTAGAAGTCCTGCATCTTTCAGAATTTGTTTTGTTTTAAATTTTTACAGTGCACCTCATTCAGAAACGTTTATCTGAGCGGGGCATGAAATTTCTATGAGATTTTTATTTGTCACACTTTAAATCACACAAAATGATTTGTTTCTGACAAACTTTCAGTCAGATTCCGGAGTATAAATCCCATTTTTCTGTCTGGTAAACAGATACCGATACAAGGAATCAGTGATGTGAATTATTGCACTGTTTGGTAAATGTGTCAAGTAGAAGTATGTATATTTAAGGAAGTGTTTTCTTACTGAAATCGTCCGATTCCCTAAAGGCTGACTGGACTGTGTGTTTTCTTCTAACATTAGATGTTGAAAATGTGACTGGCTAATTTCAGTGGAGGGCGCTGTTTTATTAGTTTACACTGAGTACTTGGGGGGGGGTGTGATACTTATTCATAGTTGTGTGAACAAGAGGTGTTCAATGGTTGAAACACGTTGTTGGGATCAGAATGTTATGGGGACAAATATTTTTCCATGACGTTGTCCCGACTCTCCAAATGAAAGGAACTGTCTCCTCAATGCCTGGACATTTTTACATGTATTTCAGTTGGGATTTGTAACTGGATTAATAATTGGATGTTTAATTTTTTGGAAGTGTTCAAATGTAACTCAGATTCTGTTTACAGTGCCCTCTATTGTTGCAATTTTGCCAGGTTGCACTCAACATAGTTAAGTCTTATGATGTAATGGGTCTCGGAAAAAATCTCAAATTCCAAATAAGTCGTGCTGTCGTGAATTGGTGAAAGTGATGCTTTTAGAGACTAAAGTTGATCATCAAAGCTTCGGACAGATAAAAGGACAAATTTGAACTAAGGTTTACTTATTACACATACACGAACCATTACAAAACATAAAGATTCGCATGTGTATTTGCTCTGCCGGTCAATTCTTGATGGTTTTACTAGCATTGATCACACTGAGGAAATGTGATAGAAAAAAAAAATCATGGGTTTTATGCAAATTTATGCCAACCTTTGGTCTTTGTTTTAAAATAACATCTTAGAGAGAATCAGTAGGGCTTTTCCTGTATTCAGCAAATGCAGCCTGCTGGTGTTTCATTTGAAAATCCCAAGCCATCACATAAGACCGCATCATATATTCAGTATTTAAAACTGTGTAATTTATTGTAAATACAGAGACTGCTTTTTGTTAAAAAAAATGGGGGAAAATTACAAAAAAATTATGGCGAGAAAGTAGAGAGATGAGACACTAAGTTGCTTGTACATGTAATCTTGCCTTAAGATGATCAAAGAACAAGACAATTGGAATTTTAAGAAAGAATCAGGAAACTCTTTCCAAACTCTGGACATCTCACTGGACATATCATGGTGCTAAGCCATCCATGTATTGGTGACCCCAACCGTCCTCCATACTCCGACGGGTGAAAGATTTGGGGTTGATGGGTCCGTGATAATATTCTGGTGCAGAATTGAGTAAGCAGTATTTTGGTTGTACACTTTGTTTGCCCACACCAAAAATAGAAATACTTCTCAGGACATGAATACTTTCAGGCTGTATCACAATTAGCCAGTTCGATATCAACATGTGAAATTGTTACATAGCTGGTCACATGGACATGTAATGTTGATTCACCTCTTTTTCCAAGATGGCCGGATTACAGCCCACCATGGTGATGTAAATTCACAAGGAGCTTTCTTTTTCTTGTATAGTTCAAGAGAGGGATGTACAGTTACGTTTAAAGATGAGAACAAAATCTGTTTTGACAGACGGTAATAAACCAATGCTACCATTAGAGAAAACTGGGATGTCTTTTTGTTCTTTTTTGAGGCCAAAGCTTGTTCCAAAGTTGCGACTGCGGCTGGAAACAACACAAGTTCGTAAGGTAGTCAGAGGCAAGTGGCTTGAGTTACCACAGACAAGCTTGTATTTCCCAGATACTGCCAGTTACAACAGGAAGCAACTACTGTGCAAGATTCAATAGTAACTTTAAGATCTGAGACCACCCATACAAGTTACATTGCAAACAGAAACAATACTGTACAGAGATACTTCATCTTTACAAATCATGCTCACTTGGATCAATGTTTCAGTTCTTATTAAATGTTAACAGATGAAAGCGATTTTTGGAGCTGGTGTCCAAAATACCAAATTGCCAAAACCATGCATTCAAATAAAAACTGGCTGTTCACATTCCAAACTATAAACACCACAAATCTGTAAACTCCATGCATTGCATGTTTGCCCTGCAAGACATCAATGCTTTGTTAACCACTTGCTGCCGGGTGGTAGGAAAAATGGCATGCTTTGCACACATACGGGCGATTTTCCAGATTCTAGGTTTTCAAAATTCTTCAAATATTCATTTCATTTAATGAATGTTTACACCCACCCGAATTACTGTCTGGTGGTCACTCTAGCCTGACAAACAAAAGCTATTGACACCCGAGAATTTAAGCCAGGCCTGTAGCCTTGTAAAAAGAGCCCAGATTGTGTGGTGTTATATAACGTTCTTTTGTTCATGAACCTGGGGCCGATTTCACCAAAGGCTACGATCGATCGTATCTTAAGTTGCGATGGGTTATCCATCGCAACTTAAGATGATTCCTAAAATCGATTTCAAGAAAATTGCGACGAGTTC